CATAGGTGATGATCCTGACCCATGAGAAAGGACAAACATGAAGCTAATGTTAGAAAATTATTCCAGCAGAAGAAAGGAATATAAAAGAGGCTTCTAAAATGAAGCAGAAAAAAAATCCTCCAAAAAACCAAATGAAAGCTCCTTAGTTACTCGGACCCAGCTCTTCAGTGTAATTTCACTCAGGTCTCTCTGACCAGGCCAGGCAACTACCTGTTTTAACAACAGCCACACAGGACATCTGCTTGACCTTCCATTTACTCATCTTGTCATAGATACATTTTTATTATGATGAAATAGCACTCGTGTCAAAATACCTAAGTTTCACAGCAATAAATATATAATAAATACTTATATCTTGACCACACCATGACATATATATGATATCATCTCATGATTTACATGCGTTTTTAAAGAAGTGTTGGCTGACATCCAGTCATAGGAATGCGTAAGATATTTATCACAAAATGTATTAAAAAAAAAAAGCAGTGGAGGGAGAGAAAAAAAGAAGGAAGGATGGAGGGAGGGAGAGAGAGAGAGAGAGATGCTGAGAGAATAAAAATATGCAAAGATGCAATATGGGAAAGTCAACCCAGAGAAATACAAAAGTAAGAATCAACTGCAATTTCCTCATAGAAATCAATGTCCTTTCTTGTATCATTTGTCAATAGTTCACTATTTAATAGTCGACTTCTCCCGCAGCTGCAGCCCCCGCTAAAACCTCTATGGGGGTACGGAGCACATCGTTTGCCTACTTCCTAACACTGAGTCTGCACACAGCAAGGGTGCAACCAGTGATTTGTGACAAGGATCACTATTTCAGACAAATCAATCATACACAAAGGAAGGATTTTCTTAGAATTTGTACTCAGAAGAACTTGGTAGAATAAATATGCAAGACATGGAGCATTAGAAAAGATGAGACCTCACAGTAAACAGAATCTCTTAAGCACAAATCAGTGCTACTTTATTCATTCTATACCATAGAAATGATTGAAAGAATAATGTTGGCAGGGGATGCATGTGGCTGACAGCTTTGTGAAAGCTTCTCTAAGAAAAATGGCTGAAGAGATTTCAGAAAATTGTTATGTATCATTAGAAAAAGCCCCAAATTCACAGGACAGGGGGTTGCTGTTTTATTGCTTGTGCAGTGGCTTAAAACCATCAATTTGTTTAAGTAACTGTTGTGTCTTTTGTTTTAATTTTGTGAGAAAAAAAATAAGATTATTATTTAAACTTGAAATCAACTCAGGAGAAAATTACCAATACCTTATTACTTTTTGTCTGCGATTTTGTATTTTGGGAAAAATTGTGTTTCAGAAACTCTTTTCTTCTAAGAGGAAAAACAAAACGTGCTGGCGAAAGCAACAGCCGTCTGTGGACACTGGTATAAGGAAACTGATGGTTTTCTAAGACGCCTACAAAAAGCAATAGCACAAACAAATCATAGATTGAGAATAGGACTTATTTCTGATTTTATAAATTTAGGAGAGTCTCAAAAAAAAACCCACATGCAAAAAAAAAAAAAAGAATGTTGTATGCCATGGCTTTCCTATGAATATTCAGACTCCTCATCAGAGATAAATCATTTCTGGCAGTTTCATCTGCAACTTAGTATTTCCTTGTACTTTCCCCACTATTTTCCGGAAGATGTAACAAGAAAAATAAAAACAAAACAAAACTGTATAAACAACCCAGAGATACCTCTGCTATGCCCTCGAGGCCCTTCACCATAATGATAAAGGCGAAAAATCTGAGGATGCACTAACTTCTCTACAAGTTATTTGGTATTTGGTAACATCATCGCCATTGTATACTTACAGTGGAGAGAAATGGGTGCTTTTATAAATATTTTAAAACTTCAGCGAGCTATGAGCTTATGTCAAAATTTAATAAGTCAATCATCATATCAGTTGTATTCCTGCAAGCATAAGTTCATTTCCATTTGTTCAAAAGATAATTAGCAGTTCAAACATGTCACTCTAATGGCAGCCAGGAAATTAATCTCATGTAGGTTTAGACATAAACCTACTAAGCCGACTTATCTTTTTCTTTCCACCTCATGTTTTGCTTCCTTAAACTCCTTTTAAAAAACAAGTCCTTTAGGAACTCGAGGAGATGGATTGAAAAGACATTCTAAATGTGCTGTTTACATGTCTACATCTTCGTATGCTCTTCTGCTTTCTAAGCATGTGTCCCTGGAGAAAGGGGCATGTTTGTATGATGTCAACTGTTTGTCAGCAGTTTGAATGGATTTTAATAAAGTGTCATGAGTGGCAGTGGGAGATAATGACACAGAGGTTCTGTGGACATATCTAATGGCTATCCTAACTGGTTAGAGACAGGGGCACACACATATTACACAGAAACGTGTTCGCTTTTGGCATCTAAGCTATGGCCCTGATCCAGTGGGGGATAAACGTCCTCATCACCTCCAACACAGGGCGCATAGTAGCAAATTCACTTCTGGATGTGAATTGTGCAGAGCAAGACTTATGTTCCATGTTTTCTTTAATAAGATTCGTCTTTGTTCCTGTAGACAATTATTCCCGTAGACAATTGAGGGCAGGTAAAAAATATTTACAAAGTCTGGAGAATAGCCAATGTGCCTATGCCCATTTGATTAAACATATGGAATACATACTTGGGGAAAAGCCAACTGATGACCTGTGTGAGTGATCTAAACACCCAAGCTGAGAGGGGTTAACATAGAGAGATCAACTTTGGACTTTGAAGTTTTCTGGTCTTCATTTTGCCTAATTAAGACAAGATTTAATAATCAAACCACTGTACAAACATGTACCTAAAAGTGTAGGTTTGTTTCTAATTTTGGAAAGAATTCTGAACAGATTCCAAGGAATCAGCTCCACATGGGAAGAAAGGTTTCTGATAAGATTTGCTTTTTTCATCGCTAAAATGCAAATACCTGCTTTTCATCTTATTTTTACCCATGAGACTGAGGTTAGTATCCGCCTGTCAAAATCCAGAGGGTGATGCTAGAAAGAAAGATCCTGATGTTAGGAAGCCATCTGGGTTTGAAACAGTGGCAACAATGGATTGTGAAAGAGCTGTATTTGAAAATATTCTTAAAAGCGTTTGTAAAAACTGTTCATAGGCTATGAATGTAAAGGGCCAGTTTATCTAATTTATTCATAGACTACACAAACCTACCTGTTTCTAGGAAAAAGTATCAAGAGTGGCAGGAAAACATATTTACAACTGGATATTTACAAACAAACCTAATTCCAGATCAAATCCTTAATAAAATTCCCAAACTCTCATTCCGTTCATATACATTTCTAATACTGGAAACTGGATAACTTTTCAAGAATTCCTACTAATTTAACATGTTCGGAGTGATCACAAACAAAAACATAACCAACAAATCCAGTTCAACACCAACACAGCCAAAACTTGCACTCACATTCATGTCAACTAGCAGAGCGGGAAGTTGGTTTTATTCAAATGAGATGGACTTGACGGACAATACAATGTTAAGCGAACGTTCAATGTTAAGACAGACAATGTTAAGAGAAATGCTGAAGCATTTACACTGGCGTAACCTGCAATCCAACAGAACCTGTGATCCTTGTAAAACGGGTTGGGAGGGACACTTGGCACTGCCAGCACCCCTAACCTAACACTACAGGCACACACTCAGGGAACAGCAAAGGGCTGGGTCAGAAACATTTTGGATGAGTGGTGTGGTCTTCCCTCTATGATCCCTGAAGGCTCCATTCTCATAATGACAGAGTTCAAAGAGATAAAAACTCCAGTGATATTTGTGATAAGCTCAGCACATGACAAAGAGGGTTAGATCTTTGCTTATGTGGGTTTATTTTGTTTGCTTTTAATACAGCGATGCAATAGAATATTTCATAGTAAGCCAACATTTTGGCTATTCATTAGCACACTGGGCAAAGATTCTCAGTAGCAGGCCTCCTGAACCTCTGGAACACACCAGTAAGAGGTATGGTAACAAGGACAGGGGACAGATTCTTGCTTTTAATATTTCCTAGGAACAGGGTGGGAAGATCCACTAGCATGAGCCAATCACAAGAGAGAATAGTGAAAAAGCTGCCCACCCCCAGCTCCTGAATGTCATCTTGCTCACACATCTGCAGAAAATGTTTTCCTGGCCTGGCTTGGCTGATAGCATTGCATGGTAGTCACTGCCTGTGGTTGCCCCAGCAGGAGAGGTCTCCCAAGAACATGGTATGATACAGACATTCCCCACGCATGGCAGCCACAATTCGGCTGCCAAAAATGGTCACACGTTTCTGAGAAACTGTTGTAAATACTTTTAGAAATGAAGCTGGGGAGAGGGTATGCTGAGAAATAATCAAAACTTCTCTGCTTGTGAGTAACACCTTATAAGCTAACTTTGTCCTGTCACCTTGCGCACGAACGTTGATACATACACATTCAACTTTACCTGGAACCTTTCCATAATCCAAAAGAACGAGGGTCCAAACGCACTGTGTTTATGGGAGCTGATAGATTTCCCTGAATTCTCAGATGTTGGATGTCTGACCCATCCATTAAGACACCTGCTTGGGTTTCCCATCAGGACAGATCTGGGGAAGTAGCAGGTATAATATTCCAAGTAGTTGGGTCTCTTAGAGACCAAACTGGATTACTAGCTCCTTACTCTGGCCCCAACAGTCTAGGCCAGTGCTGGCAATTCAGGAGTGATCAATGTTTGTAAGCTATCTTCATCTTTCCCATCCTTGCCTTTCACAACGAGGCAATATCAATCTATCAATCTTTGGTCTAAAATGAATTTGTTCATCCATAATCTCAAGGTTGTTACAAAGGTCCCAAGAACGCAATCATGGTGAAACCGCTGCTGTTATAAATGTGTCTTAGAGCCCAGAGAGCAGAGATGGGAATGACAAGAGCCCCGATGCCCCCCTGCTTGGTACCTGGCCCCCCTCTCAGTGCAGAGCTCCCCCATGACCACCCTTGTGTTACCAGCACTCCAACCCGGTGGGGAAGCTTACTTTGTTCATGTGGATCTGCTGCTGATACTGCTTCTGCTTCTCCAGGAACTGCTGGTGTTGCTGCTGAATGACCAACTGAGCCAGCGTGCTCTGCGGCAAAGGAGCCGACTGGGTTCGGTTCAGGGGTCTGTGCCGGGGCAGCTTGTGGGAACCTCTGATGCCAGGTGAGATTCTCTCCTTTGTGGCCAGGGGTGACTGAGGGTGTAAGGCGACGCCACCTGAAAGACAAATACATTTGTTTTGCTCTCTCTCTCTCTCTCTCTCTCTCTCTCTCTCTGTGTGTATCTAATTTTAAGACCAGAACATGAAGGCCCTAAGAGCAGATGCATGGTATACATTAAGTGGGAAGCGATGACACTACTAGGCAAGCATGCAAAGAAGGCTAGGCTGCATGCACAGGGCAGGTCTGCCTGACCATGGGATCCATCATCACTTGGTGCAGTCAAGTATGTCTGTGTTGAGCATCTCTTGCCTGCACATGCTGCGGAGCTGGAGGGACAGAGAAGGTTAGCGAGCATTCCCACAGCTTCAGGTGTCAGATCTCTGCATGGCACCATCCATCTCAGGCAGGGCCAGAAGCTAGAGAGGTCCTCCGCTAGATCTCCAATAAAAGAAAAGCCATCAGAGCGTCTGCCTATGGTAATTACCGGTCACAAGGAGCTTTTGCTGTCGCATTTGTTCTTTCAGTAACAAATGCTGCAGGAGAGCTTGGTGGCTGCTGTTTGGTTTTCCCTCCAATGCAGTGTGGGGATGGTTGGATGCCGCCGCCAGGCTGCCCCCGTACTGTCCTGGTAGCGCCACGCCTTGCCTGAGCGTCTGGGTCTCACACTTCTGTTTCTCTTTGAGTGAATTTGAAGCCTGTGCAAAGAAATAATACAGATGTTAATCCTTTTCCATCCGTGTTGGGTCATAAGGGCTCCACCTCATTAGACCAGTTTCAAATGCCATAATTTCTCAAAACAAAACCAACCCATCTTCTCTACCGGCTGAACTGGGATTATGGCATATCTTTTAAGCTAACTAAATTAACAAGGGCACATGAATATAGGGTTGAAGCAACTTAAATGGCTTCTTAAAAATATTAAAAAGGATGCTACATTCTGTCTCACAAGGCAGAATAATTTGGAAAGATCTCTTGAGGAATGTGTTGACTGTCATTAAAAAAATATAATGATCAGTTTAAAAAAATTGCTCACGAGAGTTGATTTTAAGTATTCCTGCCACAAAATAAGATATATATATATATATATATATATATATATATATATATGCTTGATTAAGCCATTTTCCAATGCATATATCAGCACATCATGCTATAAGCCATTAATATATTTCATTTCTGTGTATCAACTTCCTAAATCTCATTCAGTTGTAAGCAGTGGGATGCTTCCTTCTAAAAGATTTAAAACTATGTTGCCTAAGTAAAAGGAAATTTAGTCAAATAACTGGGCAATAGACTATCTCAAGGTCTCAAGAAACTGCAGATAAATAGTGAGTAACTGGAGTTTCCATAAAAAGGAACAAGTCCCCCTCCGTAACACATTGTCTAGGAGGTTCACTGAACTGTAGGTTTCCAATATACAATTTTTAAAATGAAATTCTTAGAATGACTCAATAAAAAGAGGCCAAAACATGCAGGAATTTGACTTAAATGTGCATTTTATATTAACTCATAACAGATCTCCAAATCTCTAAATATTGAAAATGACACTGCATACTATTGTATAATAAAGTATGAGTGAAATTAGATATCAAATCAAAATGCTATTAAGAACTTGAAATGTATGATAACACAGTAATAAGGCAATAATAATTATATCATCAATAGCAATAATGAATTATCCTATTCAAAGAATTTAATGAATGGTGGTCATTTTGGTATTACAAAAGCAGAAGTCTAATACCCCAAAATTATGAGGCATGTTTCTTTTCAAAACTTGTGTTTCATCTTTCAAAATTGCTGCACACCAGGGAAGCAAAGCAATTTTCAGTGATGGAGAAATTGAAGGACAAAGAGGTAAATGGTTTGTCTGACTCACAGAGCAAGTCAATGCAATGTTTAATTTTACAATGATTCCTTGTCCTGACCTTTTTTTTATGAGCCCACTATTCAGGAGGAGACGGAATATTAGAGATCCCTCTGCCAAAGCAATGCTGAGCTTGAAAAATTAATTGTGATGGCCTTATCCACACCAAAATGGAAGCAAAGAAAAATGCAACTCTAATCCAAACCACACTGGTTTATTCATCCAATGGCACCAAATTGTATTACCAATGAAACATTAAATGGTCTAGCTTTAGTGCTTGGCCCTTGGGAAAAAATGTTCTCTGACCACATGAAAAGTGATGCGTGTGTGCATTACCAGGGAAAACGGACTTCAAACATGCCAGAGTGCTGGAATTAAAATGCCTATCACGTATCTTGAAGTGTTTGAGTTAGTATTTGCTTTTCATTAGAAATGATGGGAAAAAGAGGACAATAGGAAAATGCAGTTTTATAATCATGAATGTACATGTTTAGTTTCATTGTTAATCCTTTTTTTTTGTCTTCACTGTAGCCAATTATTAGCAAATACTTCATGTGTAATTAGAGGGGCTTAACTGAACTGATGGATTTACATTATTATTCTTTAACACATCGATACAAAGCAGTGTTTAGGTTTTGCTTTCTCCTCACCAGGGTGAGATCCCGGGTTCATATAAAAAAAAAAAAAAAACAAGGCAATCCTTTAAAAGTCCCAGATATGATAACACAGTGTTAGAATAATTTTACTTTATGTGTTGAACACACTTGCTAATTTGACTGGACTTGCTCTCAAGGATTGATCAAATTGGTGGTAAGGGTTGGAGACAATTCTTTCAAGTAACTTTGTGCTATGGCCTCTGTGTGTATAATTTAGTTTACTAACAAATCAGTGATTAATTATTCTGAAGAAGCTTCACAAGTCTTCAGAATAAGTCACACTGATGTTATTTTAAGAAACAGGCACACAATAATTTTTGCAATCTTCTATTAGCAGGACAATTATCTCCAAAAGATCCTACCTAGTTCAGTTGCCAGAACTTGTATACTGACTATTTCCTGCTGAATCTCCCGGGAGCGGTTTAATATTGTTCTTAGAGTGCTTTTCTGCAGTGACAGAGTCAGTGACTTACATTCCCAAAACAAACTCATTCACAAAAGGATTCGCATCAGCATGTGCCACTGCTTGGAAGCAACACCACTCAGCATGGGTTGGACCGAAGGTCTGCACCAGATCAGCTCTGAGCTGGGGGGCTTTCAACCTCTGCAAAATCCAGCTGCCTCTGTGAAAACGGGAACTGGAATCTTAATGCACAGGATGGTGGCACTACTATTCATCTGTATGAAGGATTTTTTCAAAGAAAAAAAAAGCTACAAACCTTTTTATAAAAAAAATCTTAGCTATGGTTTTCATACAGTACTTTGTGAACAAGCAGAATCTAGGACTTCAGTCTAAACCAAACACCCTTACACCATGTAGCAAATAGTAAAAGAGAGACTGATAGGGCCAAAGTTTTACTCCGAACTCTGAATTTGAGGGAGCTTCAACAATCTGGGACAAAATGAAATTTCAAAATATATTTGGGTGCAAAAACCAAAAGAAGAAAAAAAAGTGGAAATCCACACACAAATGTTGTATAACATGCGTCTTCCAGCAGGGACTTCCTCGTTGGATACAGAGAGTGGGTTAGAGCGGTGGCTGAAGCTGAAGCTGTCCACTGACTTACATTGAGCTGGGACGACACTGCCGGAAGCCCGAGGGTGATGTTGGGCAGAGAAGGAGAGGTATAAAGACTTAGCAGGTTCATGGAATCTTCATGAATTAAGATGCGTTGCTGTGAAACAATCTGCTGTTAAAAAAAAAATTCAGGAAGAGTCTCAAAATGCCAAAAACATTGTAAAATGTTCGTACTTCAAAAAGAGGATTTATTATTCCAAACAACAAATATATCAAGCACTTATTTTATACTGTTTATATCCAACAGTTGCCATGTCAAGATGAAATAAGCATCTCTCTCCCCTCAGACACAGCTAGAAAGTTTGAAAAACTTTTTTGTTCACATTGCAAAACTCTTCTTCAAAAGTTCCAGTTACATCCACTGGTGCAGTACAATAATTGAATTTGGTAATTCTGATGACTGTGTACATTCCTCTTCTGTATTACTAAATGGGAAAACATATGTACTCAGTGCTGTGCTGGTCATTAACCATCTCAGTCAGGATGCCATTTTGCTAATGAGGAAGGTGACACAACATACAGGCCAGCATATTGGGCTTCCACAGGAATCACTTCTTTTTCAATGCAAAATTTTATGAATACCTTATGTAGCAGTCTTTGGATCACTCATATTCAGAAACTAAAGTAAGTGTTTTGAGTTCCCAGCACCAAAAATCGCCTTCATTTCAGCTGAAAGACCTCGAACATTCTGGCATCATAGTCTTTTTTACAACAAATACCTCTTTTTTTTAATCCAATATTAAGAGTCATGTTTTCCCACATGTGGCCTAATACGGTTGCTTGAATTACATTTTCTGTTTAACTCTTGCTTCCCTCCCAGAACCTTTATACAACGAAGAGTTACAAAGGTCTTATTAGACCAAGGAACTCTGGCCTGATATGGTCCCCAAGGGAACAACATCCCTGAAAAAGAATACTCCATGTAACAGAATGACACAGTGACTGCTTTCTTCCCAAACAAAAAGCATATGGGACTCCAATAATAGACCACCTCCAAGAGGGATATTGCACACACGGGTTTTGACTAAAGTAAATATAATAACTTGTCAAGCATGTTTGGGGGAGCCGTAGATTTTCCTCTGGACAAACCTGGGATATCAATTAACTGGGAAAAAAAAATATCATGTGCTCATACAATGCAACCTCAGAATGTCACCAAAGAGTGATGCACCACCAAAACACAGGATGTTATTGCAAAACATCATCTCAATCATACATTTGTTTGCAGATGAGTCCCAGCCTTAACATAATAAGAGCTGAAGGCTAAATAGAGAGTTCTCTCACTGCAGCTTTGAATTACAAGCTAACTTGGATTTTTTCCTCAAAAAAAAAAAAATAATCAGAATATTGTGCATGGAAATTCACAATGTTAGCTATAGATGCACTCACTCCTTCCCAAGATTCAAGTAGCCCCACAACACAAAGCTTGTTGGAAAAGATCACAAAATTACAAGCTATGAGACTAATTTTATTTCAGGAGCTATCCATCAGACGTTACTGTGATTATACAAATACATTTTTAGTGTAAATTTCGAGTTTGGAATACACATGTATGCCTGAATAAGATCCAAGGGAATTTATGAAGAAAAATATTTTAATGATCTTAGTGGTGACCGACAGTCATTGAAAATGAAAGGCTATTCTATTGACTTCTCTGTATTCACAGAAGAGAAATAAGGAAATAGAAGCTGTTCCAATAATGTCTATTCGAGGTTGAATCTGCCTCGCACAGTACTAGGATGTGGGGTGGAAGGTGGGAACACCTCCAAGAAGAACCAGACACCTCCCACAAGACGTTTCTTTGTTTCCTGGCGAATCTCTGTGACACCTCTCATCACGGGCAGCAGATTTGCAGGGAGTGAGAATTAAGACTGCTTTCTCTCCACGTAACAATGGTGGTGAATGTTGGGGACTGGAGCTACAGCACAGTCCTACAGCTTCAGAGAAAACGTGGTCAGCTTCATCTCCCGTGAGGGCACACTGATTTTCTGCATGTGCTGGGTGCCAAAGCTTGTGCCAGAAATTGTCTGAAAGTCTATTGACTCCTCACAGGCACGGTGAAGCTATCACTATGTGTATGTTGCAGATGAGCAGTGTTTTGCCCAATTCTGTTGCCCAGGGAGGCGATCCAGGAAGCTTGTACAAGTGATTGAGGTCACGGGATGCGTGCCAGTGCTGCTGCTGCCACAGCTGGCATATATGATAACTAGAGGATTGGAACCCAAGAATCGGGGGAGAAGGGAGAATAAAACAGCTGTCAAGAAGAGGAGGTAAATGCAGACCCAGGTGTTTATGGGAAGGCAGTGAGGAGTACAACTGGGAACCAGCTGACCAGCTCTGGGAAGAGAGCCATGCCTGTGTCCTAGATGTCCATATCATGGAGACAGTTCCTCAACAGCCAGGCCAGTTCTGCACTCCCCCATGTCCAAGAGAGGCCTCTGGTTTTCCCCAGAGACCAATGGATGTAACAGACCTTCAGAGATTCTATACCGAGCAGGGAACCAGCACTGAGTGGAAGCCAACTTCCACGCTCACCACTAGAAAAAGACTTTCCAGACCTCAAACCCAACTTTTCCTGAACTGTCTTCCTTAAGGATATATTTCCTCACCTTGGCTTACTGACACGGGCAATCCATACGTACCAGGCTTACATATGCTACTAAATCAAGCCTGGCACCATGGCCGTACACTGTCAAGTGCAGACATTAACCACAGCCAAGCCAGCCGCTGGTGGGGGATCACTCCACAGAGACAGCGAAGGTGGTATTCTGAGAGGCTGGAAGACCATGCCACCTCAGCAGTGTGCTGAGCTCACACAGACTTGAAGACATAGCCAGGGTTTTTCCAGGAAAGAGTTTTGAAAGTCATCCAGCCCTTACTTAAAACAGTGCTATGTTGCTAAGATGCCAACATTTCACAGCTGGCAACATGCACAAGATGGTTTTAATCGGAAATCTTTTCAGAACCAGAAACTTTGATTAAAGAGTTAGATTAAAATGAGAGCATTAGGCATAGGAGTGGCTATTGTTCAGCCTATACGAAGCAATGAATTGGTGACTCCTCTGTTTAGATTAATGCTGTCAGGTGCTGGGTGTACAAAGATGTCCCAAATCCCACAAAATGCAGGCTGCTCAGGTGCACAGAACAGGGTACCAATTTTAGACCAGGAGTCGCATAGGTAACTGGCACTTCATGAGGTAGAGTATTCGGTTAGGAAGAGCAGTATGAGTGGAGCTAGTTTCAGGGGAGGCCTAGTTATATTTTAGTAAAGTCCTTCCAATTTTTATTTCTTTTTGTTGCTTATTACCATTTCAATTAAAAACATTTCTTACAGATAACATCTGCACTTGAGATCAATAGAGATTGCAGATTGTATATTATACATCTATTATTTATTGAAACTCAGAAGCTACCAGTTTGAAATAAGACCCAGAATCTCTTTTAAAATGAAGAAACTATAGAAATAGACATCATCAAATGTTATGAAGACCTGGAAAATCGACACGCCCCACACCTTGGTGTGACAGTAGATGGGTACAGAATTGTCAGTGACTGATTCAGCACTAAAAACCGACGTAGTAATACTACACATTCCAATGATCCTTGTGCTTGGAATGGTCATTTCAAGGAAACTTGTCAATAAGCCACAGGCATGGCGTCTAGGGCACAAACTGATCCTTGTGGGGGAGAGACCTGCAGAGCAAGTACCAATACACAATAAATACATAGAGTAGGTAAAATAGAGCACACCATGGAGTTTTAAGGGGTTGGGAAACTAACCATTTTTACGACTAGACATGCTTTGTGGAAAAGTAAGAAACGGAATGAGGGAGACAAGGGGGCATCATTACTCATACAACCACTATCGTGCATCAGAACAAAGCTGGAAGCGCATGGAGTATAAGCGCCAACGGAGACGGAAACGCAGAGGTACTCTCTGCTCTTGCAGGTAAGGAAAACGCAAGTGGCGGATGAAGAAATCCGGAGAAACAGAAGGTCGCAGGGAGATCAAGAAACGCCTTTCTCATTCTTGAGGCGACAAAGGCATCAGCTGATGACGCTTGCTGGCATACTAAGCACGTCAACTACTTTGCCAGAATTTCACGGCAAAGGCAGATACACGGAGTTTTGTGAGAAGTGGTCTACAGGGATGAACAGAGATTTGTTCTCAAGTACATTATCCTGAGGTCTGCAATGACATGCTGTGGACACCAGCTCCCACGGCCCTTCCCTGGGCTTCAGTTGGCTTCATATCAGGAATATTCATGTCTAATTGAATGGGACATAAGAAGACATGCTCTTAAGTCTGAATCACCCTTGACTATAAAAGCTCATGTCAGGGGCCTGGCGTGGTAGCCTAGGTTCATGTCCCGGTTGCTCCATTTCCCATGCTTGCGACCTGGAAAGCAGTAGAGAATGGCCCAAAATGTTGGAACCCTGCATCCTCATGGGGGGCCTGAAAGAAGCTCCTGGTTCCTGGCCATTTGTGGCCACTTGGGGAGTGAACCAGCAAATTGAAGATCTTTCTTTCTGTATCTCCTCTCTGTAAATTTGTCTTTCCAATAATAATAATAAAAAAATCTTTAACAACAACAACAACAAAAAGCTCACACGTCCCCAAATCTAGACCGTTAGAAGACAGTCCCATTAAAAAAAATAAGTCTCTTAACCATTTCATGTTTGCCTACGAGTTTTACAGTCTTTCTCAATATCATAATTATTGTCTCTTTTGGAAAGCTAGTAAAAATTAATTCTTTATATAAATAAATGGAAAATTGTTTAATTGGTAAGAATCTCTAACTTTCATATTTATTGGATATTTACAATATACTAATATAAAATGATTATTAGGGCAGAAAATAGATATTTCTGTGCATTTAACCTTTTTTTTTTTTTGCAAAACCTTGTATTTATCGTTAAGTTTATTGGATTCCTTTGGCTTTACAATCTTGATTCATTTTAATTCCTAGTAAATTATTCTTTTGTCATAACAACCTCGCCTCTCTAACGTGGAGGGGAAGGACATGTTTTACTTGTTGCCATCGAAAACCATAGCTCTGCACCCACGCACAAGGGAGCATGACATTTCCAGCAAAAGTCACAACAAGTATAATGAAACAAAAGGCAGATGAGTCATGTGAGACAATGGCAAAACAAGTGACATTTCAGATGACGGTAGAGTCCTTAACCTTATTATTAGAATCCTTTTAGAAAATCATTTGTATCTTCTGGGGGGAAAAAAAATTATTTTAGAAATGGCAGAGTAAAGACAGCCACTAATGTTCAACTAGAAATAAACCAGCAGCTTGGCCACTGTTGAAATAGCTATCAAATAAATTTACTGACTTTAAAGTAACGGAGCTAATATCCATGGAAACATATCTGAACCCACAGACTCACGATATTAGCAATAAAGTAACTAGATAGGTAAAGATGTTTCTGACTGGAGTTGGAAATAGAAACCCCTGAGGTTTCGGCTCCCCAACCAAGTTTACAAATGAGGAAAGCAAGGAGCTCAAGCACTCTGAGTTCTGGGACGGAGCATGTATAAGAAATAGAAGTGGAACAGCAGTGGTCAGAGCAGATGGAGACTCATGCTCACATGAGAGCTGCTGGCTTGGAGACAAACAAGTTAATGCCTTTTCCCTAGCAGGAGTCGGCATTGATCATAACACAGAACAAACTTGTTTCAAATTTCACCATTTACCACCTGCCTTCCAAATGTGGATTCCTGACAACAAATTGGTGGTGGTGCATCTCACCACCTTTTATTAAGTTATGAGCCCGAGGGTTAGGGAGTGTTTGGCAGCTTGGCCATCACAGAGAGGTTTGCGGTCGGTTTGCACTGAGTCTTCTGAGGGGGCACCCATATACACGGCGGCTTCCAGCACCCTGCCTTAGGATTCAGTCCTCCTCCTACTTCTCTCCTTTCTCTAAAGTTGTCCAGACAATAGGATGCTAAGATACACATTTTCTTCTTATGTGCTGATCATGGTCACCTGACACAGTTTTAGTTTGCTTTGTCTAAAGCCTACGATCTTGATGCATGGAATCGCATTCATTGACAAGAACTCTGAATTAGGCAACCAGCTTTTCTACTTACTGGGCATACAAAAAAGAAGCGAATTCATTATTGTATTGCTTTATGATGGAAGCTCACTCATGTTCCTTAGGCGAAGGCAGTAGAATGATGAAATACATGGCTCAGTTTTTGAGAATAATGATGCAAATGATTATTAAGCCCCAAAGATTTGTCTCACCAACACTATTATTAATCTTAAAAGGCATCTGTAAAAATCATTCTGAATTCTAAATGTGATTTAATCAAGTATGACTGAGAATACTTTTCCACTCTTTTCTCCGGTTTAGGGAGAAGAAGCACACAGCGCGACAAACCCAGGATATTCATTTGCTTTCACTTGTGGGCCGAATTCTGCTGTCCCTTCAGCTACCCAGCATGAATTACGCTACCGGGCTGTGCAAATGCAAGGCGGCAGAAAACCACATGGTAGCCATCAGGGTTGCATTTTTTGTTCCGGGCCACAGAGAGGCTGCCCATGAGTGCAGAAAGGTCTGTCCACCTGGCCTTGTGGATCATGGTTCAGGCACACAATTAATTCATTATGGGCTATGTCGCTGCCTGCTTTTGAACTCGCCTTTCCAGCTTTGGAGGTGAATGTCCTGTCACTGACCTGAAGAAATACCTCTACCCTTTTAAACTCCATTAAATCACATTTCCTTCTGTTTTGTTTTGTTTTTCTTTTTCAAATAGTGGGGGTGGAAGGAAAGCTTTGTAGGGAGAGAAATAGGCTCTACAGTTAGCTCACCAGCTAGGGTATCTAAACAGATCTTTTGTGCCAGTAATAATTTTAGAAATACAAATAAGGTTAAGGTAGTATAAGCAAACCCCTTAAATTTTACACATACATACACACAAATACATGGTTTTAGAAAATTTAAAAGCAGAGCCACACAATCTGGGACACTCCATTCCATTTCATTTAATAGGACAGGTCACAAAAGCCTTGTGGTAAAGAGCAACTATGACATGTTCCATTTATTTCTAATCTCACCAGGATGTCATTAGTTGTTCTTCACGTTGCATTAAATATGACAGACCCATCAGTATGTGTATACATTTATAATTTAATAATATTTTGTCTCCATTAATGAGAATTGAATAGTATTTCACCCCTTCTTCCCTCCTGAAAACGTAACATTGTTTTAGTTCTGTTACTCTCAGTGTTTTTGTCTTTGAAAAATATACTCTTATTTAACCAATTGGATGCTTGCCAGTCATCTGCTTATTTCCTATGTGTTTCTGTAGTTTCCAAAGTTTGTTCTCATCACTGAATCCTAGCTTTGCCTTATGGTCAGAAAAGGTACTTGATATGACTTCTATTTCAAACATACCAGTGGATCAAGAATTTAGGATGGAAACTTAAACACTTCTTACATTGAATGAAAATAGAAACAGGACACAATAAAATCTGTAGGACACAGCAAAAACAGCCTTAAGAGAGGAAGTTTACATAAAAAAGGAGAGACTTTCAAATTTTTTAAAAAATGAAATTATCACTACAACTTTAATGATTTAGAACAATTCAAATCAAAACTAGAAGAAGAAAATGGAAAACATAAAACCCAGAGAAAGAAAAGAAATGGAGGCTAAAGATTTACACAAAAAGACCAGTGAAGAGTGGGTACCTTGAAAGACAAACAAAGTTGAATAAGTCAAGGTTGCACTAATAAGAGAAAAGATTTTTTAAAAATCAGGGAAGTTGTACAATTGATGTGACATCAATGCAAAATGTTGGGATAATGATCATTTGTACAGCAAGAGAATGGACAATCGGGAAGGTATGGACAAATTCTAGGTCACCTTAGCAAAACTGAATTGCGAACAAATAGCAAACTTATAGATCAATAACAAGCAGAAAGACTGAAATCAGTGCGAAAAGTCTCCCAACAATGAGCCCAGCTCCAGTGCTGAATTCAACGGAACATTCAGAGTTAGTATCAATTCTTAAGTGATGTCCCACAACAGAAGATTAAGTTTCCAATTTCTTGATTTAGAAACAAGAAGAAATGAAAACTTGAGGTCAATAATCCTGATGAATTTAGGTACAAAAGTCCTATCAAATGCAACCCAGCAGCACAATGAAACGGCCATTTATGGGCTGACGCTGCGTCGCAGCCAGTGAAACTGTTATATAAGATGCAAACATCCCATCTTAGCATAAGGGACCAAGTTTTGCCTTCTCTGCTTCTGATCCAGCTCCTTGTTTATACACCAGGGAAACTAGCAGATGACAGCCCAGGTCACTGATGGAAGACTCAGTTGGGAGTTACTTGTTCTTGGCTTCAGCCTCACTGAGCCCTGGCTCTTTCAGCTATTTGGAGAGTGAATGTGTGGGTATAGGTCTCTCTCTCTCTCTCTCTCTCTCTCTCTCTCTCTCTCTCCCCCCCCCCTTCTGATCTCTTCCTCTCAGTTTCTCTCAAAGCAACAGGTATTTTGACACCATGCATAGAAGAAATATTTTGGTGGGCCAAGATCACTATTGAGAGTAAACTGGGCATCCACAGGGGACAGCCAAGGGAACCCCTGTAGGCAAGAATGTTCCAGGGGAGGCTACTTGCATGGCAGGAAAGCTACAGAGGAAACCCTAGAATCAGAGCAGGGAACAAACATCTGCAACTCCATCAAACATAAAGGAAGAAGCTGGGGACATGAGTTGTACAAGAGCAGTGACCACGTCACCTGCCCCAGTGTAGGGCAAAGCATAGTGCAGCAGCTATTAATGTGACAGAAAAGAAGAGGTAAGACAATCAATCGACACTGGTGTCAAAATAGCTGATTTCACGAGCATCTCTGTGCAGAGTGCTGCTTTGCTTATCCTAACCCAGAAACAACACAGAGTTCCCCACTTCTCATCTTCTTGGTCTGTTATTCTTGGTTACAAGACATCATGTGGTACATTAATTTCCTCTAACTGTAACAGTCTTTAGAGCCCCCTTGCCAGGCAAAATGGCTGTCACTTGACAGATTTTCCACAAAGGTTTGCTCAGGGAGGGCTCTAAGTCCTTCTTTTACCATACTTGGTTATTACTCCTCAGGGAACATGGATCAAATTTGCCTGCCTCAGTTGTTCTGTCAAGTGCTCATAAGTTGTTCCCCTTAGCAGTGGCTCTATTCCTTTTAGAATATCCAGCAGAGTGGCCAGTAAGTTCCACAACTTTTGGGCAATATTCTCCCAGGATTACCAAGAACATCTTCAAGGATTGTATTTCCATATGTTCCAACCCAGACTGCTATGCAAACTTCTCTGGTGACCTTAACACAAGACTGAATTCACTTAATCCTATGAAATAAATACATATTCTACATGAACAATTTATTTATCATCAGTTATTTCACTTTGAAGTGGATAGCATGTACATTAGTTGGTAAATACCAGTTATTTTTGCATACAGCTATAATGTGTAGGACTAAATATTTTTTAAATTCAGAAATACCACTTGGATGCCGCATTTCAATTCAGAAATATACGTTAGGTAGCAAAAACTCAAGACACCCAATTTAGCTCCTAGAAGAATCCAAATGAGAAGGGCCCTACCTCAGCATGAGTAGTCGGTGGCAGAGCTGATGTCTCATTTTCAGTAACAGTTCCAGTTGGCCCATTGTTTGGCGAACTGGGACCGGATCCGGGAGAGCTGCTACTGATGGAAGATTCTGAAAAATATTGTGAAATATAAAATGTTTGTGAAAAACATACCCAGATGAACTTCAGTTACTGCAAAGTCACACGCAACACCGACATTTTTTTTTGTTGCCGCATATGAATGATGAGCTAAAAAAATATTTTGCTCATGTCTGAATTTTCCTATAACTTGTGCCCACTTTGCTTCCATGGCAGAATCGACAAGACATTATCAATTGGTTTTTAGTGAAGTAAAGCCACAAGGTTATGAGGGTCCTGGGAGCTTTGGATGAGGAATCAATCAAAGAAAGGAATCTTTTCTCACCTGTTCTTGTTCTATTGTAACCACTGACAGAAACAATAAACCTGTACCTGCATTAAAAACATGTCACCCACACATGAGGTCTACAGCATTACTCCTGTTGTATCTGAAAAAAAACACTGCTTAAATGCTGCTCTATAAACTGCTTTTTATTGGATATACTAAGAGCATAGTTTTTGGCCACCATAGTTGTACAAAGTAAATTGAATGTAAAATCTCAGCATTGATGTACAGTCTTGTACAATGTCATCTGATCTTGATATTACTCAATATTTTTTCCATCAGTGAGAAACAGCATATGTGCTATATAACATTTATGCTCTAACACAAGAAGAAATTTCCTTTGAACAAAAATTAGATGGGCATGATGCTGGTTACTTAATTCACATATTTTCTCTTCACATATAAAACCTACATGGTTTATACACTTCAGCTTATAAAGAAATGAAGATACTGATGAAGTAACCAAATTAAATATCCAAATTTCTAATTCATAAAAATATAGCTGGAGAAGACATTTAGTATGGCATTTAGTAATGGAATTCTAATTCCAACCGCCTCTTGCTCAGTTATTTCAAATTTTTCCTAGTTGCCTCATTTGTACATCTTGTTAGACTAACTCTGCAGAAACTATCTGGCTTCAGAGTTTTCAAGAATCAAAGGCTTCTGCTAGAATTTCTGCCAGCATTGTTTCATTCTCCCTCTTCTTCCTCATTTCAAAGACACTGCATTGCTTGTTGTGTCCTGTTGCATTGAGCGCACAGTTACTCCTCCCTCTACCCCATCCTGCACACTATTTCAGGACGTCCTCTCATTGGCTGCCTGGACTCTTCAGGCCCTCTCTTCTTGAAGAAGGCATTGCCTCTGGAGCCTGACACTGTGGTAGCATTTCCTGAGAAGCAGTATCCCTCCCAGCACCTATTGAGCCCTTCAAGCCCTCAAAGAAAGGCTCACTCGCTGTCTGTCACCCAAAACTCTACTCTTAGAAGCCACCCAACCCAAAGATTTTTGGCAAAACGATCCCTTTGACACTAACCGCCACATCTCTCACATTTCCTCCTTTTGCCAGCTGCTACATACAACAGTTCCCTAAGTGTGTCTCCTTGGACCATTTTCTTCCCTTTGTCAAAGTCACGCAGTATTCTGAATTCAAATGTCACTTTTAGGAAAGATATTCTCTTAAAATTAAATTTTTGTTTTTAGCACTCATCAGTCTCAAAGTTCCTCTGAACAGTTGAACACTGTTAATCTCCCCTCACTCATGTGCCAAACACAACACCTTCTAATAATACCAGTTTCCTGCTGATTTCTCTTTTTTGTCATCATCCTTGGTATTTTGTTCACTCTCACTTTAATAAGTTAACAAACATTCCAATTTTTTTAAAAAAATATTTTAAAAATTTATTTGAATGGCAGAGTGACAGAGATCAGGAGGGAGAGCGAAGAGAAAGAGAAAGAGAAAAATTTTCTATCTATTGGTTCACAACTACCAGGGCTGGGCCAGGCAGACATCAGGTGCCAGGAATTCTATCCAGGTCTCACACATGAATAGCAGGAACCCAAGTACTTTGGCCATATCATCTGCTGCCTACTCAGGTGAACTAGTGAAGCTTGATTAGAAGGGTGGAGTAGCCAGAACTTGAACCAGGACTCCAAGATGGGCTATGGGCATCCCCAGTGGCAGTTTAACCGCTGCAGCATAAAGTCCACCCTTACCTTTGTTCTGACGTTCTCTCTCATCTTTGACTACAATCACTTCAGTTGACACACCCATTAGTCGCTCACAGACCTAGTATCTCCAGATGCTCTTCCACAATTCCTCCACAGAGTTGGCCACTTTGGCTTGTCCCTCTGCTCCACAATGAAGCCAGCATCATTTCCTCCCATTGCCTTTTTGACACTCACCCTCAACTCACTGACTCTCACCAGTAACAATCATGCTTTCTCCCCTCCTTTTTTTTCCTACCTCGCTGCAGATACAATGCCACTTGTAGCCTCAACACCTGCCTCACCAAGGCTCTGACTCCTGGATACAGGAACTTCCACTTTCAATAGTCTTTTCTTCCCCTTCTTTTACAACATCCATAATTTGTTCAAGAAAGATTTCTCTACTCAGCTGTGTAGCGACACCATAGAAAAGGTGAGACTGCCATAGGACTCTGACTGCAGCACTTACTCCCTGTGGGGTTGAAACAAGTCTCTACTGCCTTTCTGTCCACCTTTCTTGCCCGTGTCACTTACTTGTTCATTCAATGCTTACTTTTAACTGCTTTGTTTTTTTAATATTTTGTGCCTCTCTTCAACAAAGAAAACACATCTCTCTTCTGTTCTTCTAGAATCTCTTTATCCATATTTCTAATTCTTGTTTTTTTCAGTATGATTTAGTACCGATTTCTTGTTAATGTCTCATTTCCATATCATTTCCATTTCCACACTTAAAAAAAAAAACATTTTCTCAAGCATTCTGTCTTACCCATTTTACATTATATTACTTTATGTCATATTCATACTGAAGTAGGAGTCACCACAATATCACACAAGATTCAAGGCAGAAGCCACTGTGACAGAACCAGGAGGTGTCAGGCTGGACAGGATCTGGAAGGAGACAGTAAGGGTCTTCATGGAACAGTGAGATGCTCAGAGGAGAAATGATCATGGAACTGTGGTTTGATAAAAAGTAGTTCATGAAATGAGGGCAATGGAGAAGGGGAGGGTAGGAAGAAGACTTCACAGGCACAGACATGGGTCAATGTCAGGTTTTCAGAGGAGAAAGGGGCAGGAAATATTTGACTTTGAAAAAGAGGTAGGTGGCAAACTGTTCCCAAGGCAACCATTGGTAAGAGCGGATGGCCTGGGTTGAAAAAGAGTGTACACTTGAACTTATGAAATGCAAAACAGAGAAAAGGCAGGGAGGAGGGTAACAGCAAAGCCACATAACTGCTTTGACACTTGAGAGTCTCTAGCTACATGCTATAAATCCAGAAAGGCATCCTTAGTGTAATGATCTGCAAAGAGCTCATCCAGGGGAAATGAAAGTTGGCAGAAAGAAGAGAAAGCACAGGTGAAGACAACTGAGTGCAGGTGGTTCAGGGTCTAGGAAGGCACTGAGAAATGACTGCAGCACACCGGATCCAACCACTATCCACCAAGGCAGCTGACAGTCCCAGCCCACGGCCCAGAAATCAATATCTGATGAACCATAAATCTCCATATGCATACACATCATTTCCTAAGACAAAACTTGGGAGTCCATATCTCACAACATTAAGGCAAGCGTATTTTAAATGGAAAGAAATGCAAGCAAAACTTGAGCAAATCAAGATCCTTACAAATGACAACAGATCGCAAATGGGTTGCATCCCACTGCAGTTCGGTAAATATTTAAAGAAAGACTTGTAAAAACCATGACCAAAAAGAGAGACAGGAAAATAAAACACTCATCAATATAAATAAATATGACCCTTGATTTAAGATTATCAAGTAGTAAAATGTTACTGATATCTACACGGTATTCTTCAAGCTGCAGTTAAAGGGAGCCTACTTTTTCCACTTTGAGGAAAGAAAACCTATCCTATTTACACAAGATAATTAATACATTTAATTATCTCACATTTTTCAAGACAGAGTCCTTCCAAGCCCTCTATTTCCTTTGAAGAACCTCTTGGGAAAATGAGATCTTTACTTTCTTTCACAAAACATTTCTTGAAAAAAAAAGTCTACGACTCAGAATTCAATGGATCAAATTAGTGATATCACTGTCATTGAAAAACAGATACACTCTAATGAAAGACCTTTATTTTCTTTAATATTTCTTAATCCTCAAGGAAAAAAAATCACATATTATACTAATATGTTTATATGACCCTATCAGCCTATAAGATGGCATAGGAAATTATGCATTTCCCACTAAATCATGCACAAAATGTCCATCTCCACTTCCAAAGCCTTCTCTTTATCTCCTTTCTTCACCAGGAATTGTGATGACCAAAACAGAGAAAGCAATTTTTTTGAAAAGAAACTACAAAGGATAATATACAAGCATAGAGCACTAAAGATCAACTAGTGACACCAGTATAAGGAAATTGTCTTTGAGAAGAGAGAAACACGGTTGCAAATTTTCATCTCTTCATGTAGCCCAAGGGAATGATCAGGTGCCTGACATGGCCTTAAAGAGGTCTTCAATAAACAGTGGTCTACCATGTTGGCTGGTCTTTTTGGTTTGTCTATCATTAGGTCTGCTCTAATTTCAAACCAGGCTCAACTGGGACTGAGGGGTGTTGTAAGACATCAGGTTGAATTTCCTAACCTGTTCACCCCACTACTAACCAGGCAGCTAAAAAAAAAAAAGAACTCGACCATTTGAGACTAGTGCAAATGACAGTTTCTTCCCCTTCATACAAAGCAATCTATTCCCCCTCCTGCTGTAAGTCCCAGCTCACTAGTAAACACACACAGTCATTTATGAGTCCTGCAAATTTGTTGAAAAGTCAAGGTTTTGCTGGTGCATGTAGTTTAATTTTCCCCAATGTATTTTGTACATTTGTGTTTGAGTGTGAGAAGTGCTCTTCTCCGACCTGCCCCTGCTCATTTCTGATCAAATTTCATTCACAGTTATACTGGCTGGCAAACCCAGGACGGACTGCCAGTTCCTGAGGGTACGGGCAGTGTTGGTGTTCCTTAGCCTTGAGTGACATGGAACTTTGATTTTTCTTTCCTTTCCTGTTTAACCCCGGTAGGTGGAGGCACAGCCAGGTATAATGAACTATTTGTGTGTTTTAATATGATTTCCTTTCAAGATATCGTCCTCCTGAAAATCCATTTTTATGCCCACACGTATGTTAACTCTGAACTAGTTTTGTTTTTCCATCCCTACGACCCACATTTGTCAGCGTTAGAACTGCCCAGTCCTCAATTACCTGTCACCTCAAACATTCGCTTCTTGAATGAAGTGACAACATTTCCATCCTTCCGCCTGAGTAAGGGGCTGCTTCTCCTCTCTGCCACTTTCTGTTTTAACCTGGACCGCACCTTCAAGTTGGGCTCAGAGGCTGGGGAGCGAGACAAAGAAAATAGATAAAAATTAAAAAATAGAGAGCCAGCTGCTCCTGTGTTCACTAAAAAAAAAAAAAAAAGTTGCACCCTTTTCTTGTTTCTTCTTACCCTTAAATTCAAAATTCAAACATGTACATAAGGCATAGACTAAATTCATGAGACACACAAATAGAGTAATTCTTTTTATGAAATGCGTGAAATGATGTTTCTACTTCCCTAAATATGAAATGTGAAAAAGGAACAAAAATCAACTTTCAATTCATCTTCTCTATCAGAACTGGGATTGTTAGCGGGAAGTGTGATCGGTAATTACCTCTGGGTCAGAGTAAGATTTATTACAGTTCACTGTCAGTTCTCATAATTCTCTCCAGGGAGAAACTCAATAACCAGCAAAGCAGTAACTTAGTGTGGCTGTAAGAGTCCCTGACCTGACGTCTGGTAATGTGAAGATACCTAGTAGCATATAATTTATGTCTAATTCGGACTCCTGGGATCCTTCCTGCTCAGTAGAGTCTAACCTAAGACCCTGGGAAAACACAGCGTAATCACACCAAGCACACAGATTCACTGTGAAAACCTTTTCTGGACATTTCACACACTGTCAGCCAGAAAGCAAGGGCAGCGAGGTTCTAGAACAGAGAGCCTGAATTAAGGCATGTGGTCCAAAACATAAAGGCAAATTAGTCATGCTGATGCTACTGTGTCTTGGTTTACATTATGTTAAATAGCGAGGCTCCATCATTATGTATTAAGTTCTCAAATAATCACAATTTGTGGGAAGAGAAAAACTACATTGGGTTCTGTAAAACAGAATAACAGTTATGATAGTGATGATGATGATAAGGACAGAATAAGGCATATTTCTGACAACAACTAACATTTCTATAATGTCTTGTGCCTTCCGGGGATGGTCTAAGAATTTTGTCATTATTATTTTGTGTAAGTATGAAAACATCTATGTGGCATGGACACTATTTAAAATTGTCTTGTGTTGGTGAGGACACTAAATACAGAAGAGAAAGTGACTTGCCCAAGGCTACAGAACTAAAAACGGATCAAGCCAGCATTTGTCCCCAGGTGATCTGACTCAGACCTGTCCAAGTACTGAAAATAGCACTGCTCCATCTTTCTTTATATATTCTTACAATAAAGACTATGAAATCATGGCTCCAAAAGCACTAGGGGATATCCACACAGGCAGAATGCTAGCGAGATCTTTTGACCAGCAGGGATGGTTTCGTTCAAGGGATCTGAATTTTTTGTTGGAGTACAAACGTTATCAAAAAGGGGAACTCAAGATATTTCCTTTTTGGTTTCAGACTTCAACATCAGTACATGTGTCCCTTAGAATGATTAGGTGAAACTGGAGCTTAAGACAAAGATTAAGTTCAAATACAAAAACTAAAAAATCACCAATTATTTCTTTGTGTTATGTGTCTAATTCTATTCTTCAACATACAGAAAAAAAAGTTTTTCAAAAATCCAGTGCTTAAAGACACATCAAAGATGAGAGGAGAAACTTCAAAATGATGAGAGACTTGAAATGTAGGCCTTGCTCGGCCTCTTGCCTTGCAGCAAAGAAGGGGTGGGCAGTTTGGTAAAATCCCAAGGTACTTGGCAAACCTTCCAGGTATGCATCCAATTTGCCTTATTGGAGAAACCTGGCTCTCAATAGCACCAAAATTACTCAGTAGTAAAGGGACAAAAGGAGATTGCATTAATGATTCCCTATCTATATTTACTTCAAGATTCCATTACAAATTCAGTCGTGTCCCTGAATGTTGTAAGTAATAAAAACATTCATCTAATAATCTAAATCAAAAAAAGGCATTAGGACTCTCAAGGTGCAAGGTATATTTGCATCTTCTGTACCTTTCCCAGATGTAGAGTTAGATGGGAGACAGGTCTTGCCATGAAGTCCTGCCTGAGGGAGTAAATGCCACAGGCCCAGAGAGAGCATGAGGCTCCTGCTCCAGCCCCGGACACCAGCTTCCTTTGAGGGCAGACCCTGACATAGCAGTCACACCTCAGGCAACTGAGTGCCTGTGAACCTTGATGGATCTTAGATTGACTTTCCAGCTTCTAGTTTTGGTCTGGCCCATCCCTGGCTGCTGCAAACATTTAAGGTGTCAACCAGCAGATGAGAACCAACAGCACATCTTCCACCCTCTCCGTCTTTCTGCCTTTCAAATACATAAATAACTTTCCCCCCAAAATAGCAGTGGATGTAGTAGAATGAGCAGTGTATTTTCAATGAGAGGACATGGAGCTGATTCTCTGAGGCACCACAACTTGGTGATGAAAGGCTTATGGTTGTTTGTTATTTTTTGAACCTGTCATTGATACTGTCTCAACCCAGATGTTTCGAAGAATGGAACTTGCATTATTTTTAACATATTGTTTACCCAATACTATGTCAATTAATTCCATAATGTTGTATATTGATACTGAGGCCTTGTTGGGGCTTTTAACTGACCGGATCTTTACTCTGTTAGACCTATCTTCAGACCATAGAAGGTCTCCCCAAGAGGCCACTGAACTTATCTGGACAATAAGACGCTGAACTTTATGCTAGGCATGTGTTTGCAAGCAATGAATCTCAACTGAACTTGAACTATGGTTATGCAACAAGGTGGAGGAATCCACCATGGGGGGAGGGGTATGGGAGGGGTGGGGGGAATCCCCAGCGCCTATAAAACTGTACTACATAATACAATGTAAGCAACAATAAAAAAAAAAAAAAGAAAGTTAGTTCTTTATTGTAAAACCAAAGGTCTGCCAGTGCCTCAATACCACAAGTTGCAGTTATCCTATTACAGCCCAAAGAAGTACTGAGATGTTTTGGGTCAACATGAAAGAAGGAAAAGTTTGCAGTGCTTGTGCTGCTGCTGCTGGTATTATTGCTGATGCTTTCACAGCCAGGAATGGTCTGCTAGGATGGGGACTCATCTCTCCTGATCCTCTTTTCCCTGCCCACTCTTGACATACAGTCCTAGCTATGGGCTGAGGATCTGCATTCAAGATGGAAATATGCCGGCAGCTTGGAAAAACAGCATATGCCATTGAAATACGCTGCCCGAAATCCTAAAATTTCACAAGCTATTCAGAAAAAAAGATTTTCACTCCTGTGTTTGTCTATCGCAGAATGGGTTGGATAGACAACTCTTAAATCTTCTGGGTTGGTCAACACAGGAAAACAAAGAATAGGTCAGGAATGAGAAATGGGTTCTAGACTTAGACCTACCACCTCCTAAAGTTAGTGACCTTTAACCCCTGGCAGTAAGCTGACCATCAGTTCATTCATGCCAATCAACTGACACAACACCCTGTAGTGCTTGCCATCAAGCAAGTGTGCATCTAAATGCTCCACACTTCGAGCTGTCTCACTTTTGGGCAAACAGAGCTGCATCATGGCAATGTCTCCTGTCTTCGGTCCCTTGCTCTGGCTCCTCTAACCCAAGAACACCCTCTTCTAGGGAGCGGGAATGGCTGTGCACTGTTGCTTTTTTCTTGGTGTTACTGCCTGCCTAAGTAGTTTCTTTAAGCATAATTCTTTCGTATAAGCCCACGATTCTGGCAACTTAGGAATGCCGCCGACCAGAACCCTGAGTGATTATGGTCCAACTTCCCTTGCAGTTCTTTTAGAATCAAACAAAACTGTGTCATCAGTTCTCAACCATGAAGAGGTTGGACCCAGGAGACATGGTGGCGATATCTGGAGCCATTTTTAGCAGTCAGCATAGTTAGCTGTTACGGACATCGAATGAGTGGAGGCAAGAGATGTTACCAAACATCTTTCAATGCACAGGACCACCTTCTCAACAAGGAATGTTCTTAATCTACATGTTAATAGTAACAAGCGTGAGAAACCCATGAGTAAGCAAAAGTAAACAGAAGCTATTCATAACTATGCTACTTTGGAATCATTAGAAATAAAACCCATCAGTCTCAAAGAGGCTATGAGAGAGGAAGGAAAAATAGGAAAGTAGGGAGATTATCTGAAATTAGACAATGCATTATGCAATTGGAACACATTAGACACTTCCATTAATTTTGTACCTGAAAATTATTGACCACTAAAATTCCTAAAAACTTTCTGATTATTGGCTGTTTTGGAGATATCCATAAAAACAAAATTTTCAGTTTCAGGAAAGATAACACTGGAGGCATTGTGATCTTAGCTTCCTCAGCTAAGGACATAGGTTCTTAAAAACTCAGGGATCCTGGCACAGTATCTCTTTATCTTTATAAAACACACAACGTGTATCTTCTCTGAGGAAAGGCCCCTTTCCTATGGATCTAGTAAAAGCTTGTGTTTATACTTCAATGCTTGTTTAGCGTAATTAATATGAGAAATGAGTATCATGAGAGTTAGGGATGGGAGGATAAGTTCCCATCACATTCAGTCTTTGTAATGCTCTATAAATTCACCGCTAACTTCAGAAGCCAAACACCAAAGCCCAGCATGATACGTATCCATACAGTAGAACTAATGACCTCGTGTTGTTGGCTCAGTTTGCAGTTAAAGTTAATTCCATTTTTAATGCTCTGATCTCCCCAAAGGCTGAAGATTTCCATGCCAGTGACTTGCTAATGGGATGCGAATCCTCAGAGCCTAGAAAAACACCACTAGCTGGGGAGAATTGCTGCTTGTATGTGAATGTATTTCATGCCTAGTTGCACTAATTGCCTTTCTATTTTTACTCCACACCCATCACTCTCTACATCTCAATTAATCACAGAAACAGAAGGTGAGCTTTTCAATGTGTGCACCCATCTGAATGCATTTGTCTGCTGAGATGAAAACTCTGCATAAAAATTGACTGTCATCATTGAAATGAAAAATACCCATATTAAGATAAACAGGACAGATCAAAAACTTTTTTAATCTTTTTACTCAAAATAATATGGAACAAAAGAAAATAGAACACATTTGGAAACTACTTCACGAGCTAAAAGTATTTCAAAGCTCTATTCTCACATGATTTCCCTGATG